TATATATATATAAAATATATTACATACGTTCTCTGGTATCTCCATCCTTTAGCCGGAAGCATGAATGTGCAAATTTACCAGTTTTTTTAATTATTGGGCTAACTTGATTAACCTTTGGATGTTCTATGTTACAGCAAAACCCAGAATATCAGGCTTACACGGAGACCACATATTTTACAATTTCAATTGCCTAAGAGTCAAGTCTAGTAAAAAAACTTTCAAACTTGATTTCCCAAAATTTTAGTTTTTACGCATTCATCATTCTGTCGTACGGGCGACGGTATGATATGTTAGGTTATGCTATGTTATGTTATGTTATGTTGCGTTATGTTATGTTATTTTATCTTAAGTTACGTTATGTTGTGTTTTATTATCTTTTGTTATGTTATAATATGCTACGAGCTAAGTTCAACTCCCCTCTATTCAGCTCACCCCAACTAATGCTATTTCACCTCACCTCACCTTCTCACCTCACTTCTAACCAACTTCACCAACTTATCTAAACTCACTTCACTTCATCTTAACTCAACTCATATATTTCAGTGGAAACTTAATTTTCTGTGTGAGCATAAGTCAAAGTTGATGCATTTATTATTCTAAGGAGGATCGGAAGTCGTCTAGAGTACTACTTGTAGAGTGACGTAATTTANGCCCACGCCCACGCCCACGCCCACTTCAGGTGTACCAATCGCTAGTGCAGCTGCTGGCAACTGTTGCGCTGTTTGTGTCTGTTGCAGGTGATTTTGATGGTGATTGATGGTGGCCTGTAGAATCGACGACGGTGGATGATGATTTTGCGGCATGTGATGGTGATGATGATGGTTGAGATGATGATGTTGATGATGGTTTTGTTTGAGACTGTGGTTGTGTTGATTTGCATGTTGATGTTGATGTAGATGTTGATGTTGATGTTGATACATGCTGTTATGCAAACTCATGCTTTCGTCTAGCTCTTGCTGCTCTTGTTGGTGCTGCGCCTGCTGCTGCTGCTCATGCTGGGTAACTAAATGATGCGAAAGACCGTGCGAACTACGCCACAAAGCGATGGCAATTTTGCTATAAAGCACCTGTGAAGCAAATATTTTCTTTTTTTTTAACAAATTTAATGAGATTGACAAAATTTATTACAAAGATTTAAGTACATATATAGGTGCGTAATTCATTCTATGCGCCAGTTGGATGTATGTGTTCGTGTGGGTGTGTGAGTTTAATGTATGTAGGCTAGACGAAGTCACTAAATTGAGCACGAAAATATTTCAAGCAAAAATTCACCAATGTACTTGATGTATATTTAAACACACTTACATACATGTATGCGTACCGTAATACAGCTATTACTTAAATTCTATTATCAGAATCACAGTTTAAAGAAGAAGCTCGCAGTTTCCGCGGCCGATGGCTTTAATGACAGCGCTCGTCGTAATAAGCCGCAGGCGACTT